CTACGCCACTATCAGCTGGTGGCCTGCGGATCGGTGGATCGGTGACTTCAAAGCACGTAAATAACTTTACTCTAGATTTAATAAACGATTATACAGCGTAGTTAAGTCCTAACAGTTTCCGAGTCTTTTGTGAATGCGCGTGTATCGCACGAATAAGATTTTCTTCATGCTACTTTTTCTCAATTGGCCATAATCAGCTACTCGACACATAATCAGTGCCACATTTATATGGCCACACTCGACAAGAGCTCAACGCTGGAGTGGTTCATAAGCTCTCTATCTTTCTCTCTCTCCCTTCAGGTGAGTATATCCCACCCCACCCCAACACAGCCGAGCCCGAGCCCGAACCCGAGAGATAGCCCCGCGTTCCTCCATCGCTCGCTTGGGCCATCGCCTCGTTGTACAACATTTGTTTGACACTTTCAAGTACTCCGGGGCTCCGGGGCTCCGGGGCTCCGGGGATTCGTTTGAAAATAGATCAGCAATCTGTGTAAACAGAACCCGCAGCGAAACAGAGCCAACCAGCGGCACTTCTTAGATGTCCGGACAAACAACTAACTGAAGAAGGCCAGAAGGTCTGAAGAGTCTGAAAAACTGCATGCAGGGGACTACGATTTGATTCTTTCTCTCCAATTCTTTCAATTCAAACGTTCCTCGAGTGACACTTATCTGTTTGGATCGGCGGTGGACAGTGTACACAGACCTTAACTTATCGCTTGAATAAGCCCGATAAGCCAGCCCCTAGAAGTGGACAGAGACTTGGGCTGCCAACGGTGCTGCTCTCAAAAACCAAAGCAATAAGCGAAAATGCAATCGCTTTGAGCTGCGAGTATCAGAAACACAACTTTTCCAGCTCATCCCAAATACACGGCACTCGAAGAGTAAAAGGATTATTAGATTTGCTTAACGAACAGATGGACCTTATAGAGCAAATATATTCTTGATCAGCATCAACAGCCCAGTCGATAAAGCCATGTCTGTCTGTCCGTCCGTCTTGTTTGAAGCCTATTTCTTAGAGATTACAAGAGCGCGAGCATAGAAATTTTGAATGCAGACTGCTCTGATATCACGCAGAAACAAGTTTGTTTCAAAATTAGGAAATTCATGTGCAGTGGCTACCGCACACCCTCAATTGTTTGCGCGTCTCACAACGTTCCTCCGCATTCTCTTTTTATCGATATCAGGTAGCCAGAAGAACGTAACGGAATTGGACTCTTCTGCAGCCAGAGATAAGTTAACTAATCGCGGCTATTATTGTTGAAAATTGACATATCGCGCTGTAGATCGCTCTATAATGACTTTCCCGCCAATAAATGGAGGTGAATCCAACGTAAATAGCCACTGAAAATACCCACAATAACTTTCTGAGATTGGCCACATTGTCTATGCCTCGATAATCTTTGCCACACATAAAAAAAACCGAGGTAGATAATTGCAGCTCACATGATCGCCGCTCGTGACTCAATCGAACGGGAACTGCCCAGCAACATGTCTCTACAATTACCGCATAAGCTGTCATCATAAGTGATTACGAGACTATCTGTAGTGGGTATTATTCTGTCGTAACTCTGCCGCCATTCTGTTGCTCCCAGTTGTTGTCGCTTCTGAGTTGCGGTTCACTTGACTGGCCAGCAAAAAACACACACACAAAAAGCATAAATCAAAAATGCAGACAATGTTCGGGCATGATTGAAAGGTAAATACTGCATAAATGGATGTGAATGTGGATGTGGATGTGGGTATGGGAAGGGATCGCATAGCGCATAGCGCAGAGCCAGACAAAAGGGACTTCTCGGCAGCCACCTGCTGGGACCACCTGTTTAGATATACCACGGACAAAAGAGCCAGGGACCGGGACACAATGAGCATAGCGATGTGGAAAATAATCAGTGATAAAATAAAGCATGAAAAGAATCGCCATACAAAAAGGGGTTGCAGTTGCACTTGAGGGTGGACTTGATGGGTCGGAGGCAGAGGCTGAAGCAGCATGAAAAGAAAATGTTTGCATGATAATAGGCCTCATTTATCGCTGTTGCTGTTGCTGCTCTGCTTGGTTTGATCTGTGCTGCGGGATCGGGTGGATCGGGAAGCCCATAAAAGTCACTCCTCTGCCATCTCCCAACCAACTCTTCACTTCACAAATATCAGCAGACGAAACAAGACACTTTTTGAGAACACAGTTTCTGTTTCATGTTTTTTTGTGGCCTTATCAAACGGGTACATGCGGTGGGGACTTGTTCCAGAGGTGCCGTGTACCTTGTAAACGGTGAAACAAATGCAAACAAAATGTTGCCGTCTCAATGGGCAATTCTTGTAGCAGCCGATAACCAGTGGAAAACACAGAGCACGAGATACTTAGATACACGCTGAGTAACTTAGATACTTAGATACCCAGATACAAAACCCCAAAGGAACCTAATCAACGTTCAAGGTATCGACTGAAATGCTCTTCAAATATTTACACAAAAACAGAGAGCAAAGAGGCTACCGCTACACCAGCTTCAGCTTCAGACCCAGACCCCTGCCGATAAGCAGGAGCGGACATGGGCCCGCTAATTGCAGAATGATAAAAACAGAAAAGTTGCTAACCGTAACCGTAACCGTAACGGCAACCACTTTGCCCCCACCACACACCCCGAGGTGGCAGGCCTCAGGGCCAGACACGCAAAATGTTCTACGACGTAACCAACTGCGTGGCGTGGTCCCGTTGCCATTTTCAAAGATTTCAGGGAATTAAATAATATGTATAAATATCGCTGTAAGTTTTGTTATTGCCAGCATTTTTGACTCGTATTTGCCTAAACCGGCCCCAGAGGAATACCCAGTACCCCAAAGCCTCAACCACGTTGCTAGACAACCCACGAAAAAACAGAGCAGGGAGGATGCTGCCTGGCCTCTGCTGGGTTCTGTTCCTCGGGTTGTTGGCAGCTCTGAGCATATTACATAAAAGAAGAAAAATTATGATTTTCACTTGTAGAAGAGCAAAAGGAAGGGCGAGAACGAGGATGAGAGTCATAGATAGGGGGGATAAACAGGAGAAGAATGGGGGGAGGCCAGTGGGGCCTGTGCCAGGCTGTTGCTTAACTGTCAAAATCGTGTAATTTAATAAAGTTCGCTGCGGGATATTGTTTTTTATGGAAGCCAGCACAGTGTAGAGACAGCTTTTGCCAGCTGCCAAATGGGGAGTGGCTGCGGCCAAGTGGGTGGCACTTGGGGCACGGGAGTCTGCGGCTCCTCAAAGTGTGCTGCACAAATACAGGAATTTTGAGTTACATATAACACTGCAACAACGCGATATTGTCTTTTGGTCCACCCCCCAACAACGCACATACAAAAGTACATAAAAATATGTACATACATATACATATGTAGATATGTATTTATGTACATTTATGGGGGGGTAATGTTTGTGTTTACTCTGGGAAAAAGCAAAGCAGCGAAAGCGAAAAAGTTTTTACGTGAGTATCGTCACATATTCGGGCTGTGGCGAGTGGAGGATGGCAATTCCGTAGTGGTGACCTTTTCTGAGACCTTTTCAAGTGACAACAAATTAAACAAACTTGACTGAAAAGGAACTCCCCTATTATGGCTAGCTTTCATATGAAGTGGAGTCTAGAAAACCCAAAATCTTGATGCTTACCGAAAAACAGTGGGTTTGGCACTAACTTTTGGCATAAAATATTGTTCAACAGTTATAAGTTATTGCTAAAGCCACATAGAGCATGAAGTTATCATCAGTTTGAGCTTCTAAAACTAGTCAAAATGTGCCAAGTGATCACATTCAGCACATTAAGTAATATCGAATCCGATGCCTAAAGTGCCAGTGTAAACATTTCATATGTTCAATAATATTAAAAATTATGCATCTAAAAATATTCGTTAAAATTTGAAGTAAAGTATATAACAGATTTCGATATTTCAGTTTTATATTCACCAATGCAACGTGGCCCACTGTTTGCATTCTTTTTTTATCAAGCCATATTCCAATTTTATTTTATCAAGCATACAAGAAAGGAAATAAAAGTAAACAGCTGACTGCCAAAACACACATACGAATGTGTCTGTATGTCTTGCACATCCCCTGTGAAAAGCGTAGAAGAAAACTCTCCCCAATCCACAATCCCCGTATCCCGCATCCCCCATCCCCCACGCCCACACATTTGCAGCGTCATATGAACGCCCCATTATTTACTTAACATAACTTGAACACTCGCACTGTCCTCCCACAAAAAAAAGAGCCCCAAAAGCTGCCAAGTTTCCCCTCAATGTGCAAAGAGCAGACGTAGCAAAAAAGAACACGGCAGAGAAGGAACAAAAATAAAGAACAAAACTGACAGAAGTTTGGGGGGAGGCGAAGAAGGAGAAGGCGAAGGAGCAGGAGAGAGAGATGTATAAGTAGGCGGAGGCATACGGCGCGTGGAGTATGCCAAGTTTTACCTGCTAGCCGTGCCAGCCCGAAGTCAGTTGGCTAGTCAAAAAGCTGTCGTCGATGCTAAGCGCAGACCCAGATGCCATCAAATATGCAGGAGGACGCAGAGCGTGGAGGCTCACAGAAAAATGGCGAAAAAATGATTTATGTGTACGCCATGAAGGAGGGAGCGGAAGAACAATAACAGCTAACAATAAACGGGGAAAAATAACAGAATCAAACTGATTTCTCAACTTGGCCGGGGTTCGCCATTGAGAAGAGGACCGAACGGAGACCGATGAGGTGGAGTCTAGAAAGCAAAAATATTTATGTGCCCGGTCCGAAAGTACCTTATATCACGGGTATGTTGCACTGAGTAATGTCCGAAGTGTGCTCAAGCGACAGCCGATAGGACTCCAAAAGATATTGGGGTCATACGAGGGGCATGAGGTATGTCTGTCCCCTGGGCAAAACCTTTTCTAGGCTTAAAGCTCCAAGTCCTTACATACTGAATGAGTTATGGGCTGTTTCCTTGGAGCCTTGAGAGCACAAGTAACAATCGTAGCATGCGTCAGAATCTAAATTCTGTGTCCAGTTTATACAAAACATTTTTTGCTCATGTTTAAAACTCGAACAGGGAAAGTCATTTTGGGCTTTAGCTAAAAACGTATAACGGTAACGTATAAATCTGGCCTGCAGATTTCGTTAACTTTACAGTAATCCATACAAGAGTGTCCCTCCCTCAGATGTCTGATATTAACTTGGCTGCCTTCGACGCTTTTCGGCGGGATCTGGCCCGCATACAAAAGACTTTCAACTCGTGCACACAAACGGATTTCACGCAAGAGGTTGGCACAAGCACCGATTTGGAGAAGAGACACCAATAGCACTCGGTCAAGTGTTATGGCAACGTCTCTTGAGTCGAAGGACAACGCGTCAAACAGCTCCGGCTCGAGCCAGCGAAAAAATTACCCAAGCGAATGGACGGATGAGATGAAAGCGGCACTGGAGCTTAAGTCGGAAACACGATGGATGCCATCCAAAACTAGCATCTCTAGCATCAGTTCCGAGCACTCTCCGTCAATGTCTTCCCAATCCGAAGAGCGAACGGAAGCAAGCGAAACACTTCAGAGCGAAGACCTGACGGGCAGCTGCTCACTGCATTCGACAGACCAATTAGCCAGCAGACGAAAGAGCAGCATCAGCACCATTGGCAGTGCCCATTTGCCGCTGACGAACTCCCAGACGTCATCTGAATGCACCACAGAGAGCAGCTATCAAACCACATCGGCGGATGACTCCACTCTGGAGTCCAGCGACTCCAGCAACAACGTTCAGACGATCTACGCATCAGCACCCAACAATTTTCTACGTGAAATGTATGTGCCAGTCGACCCGAGAGCCGTAGCGTACCAGCTGGAACCAGTACGCTGGGAACTGCGCCCACTGCTGGCCCACGAGATGGCGGTTCGAGGCAGTTATGGAGAAGTCTTCTATCTAATCGGCTACCACTACATGTGGTAGGACTGTGTGCGAGTCGAGTTTGCAATAGACATTCCAAAATTCCCAATGCCAAGTCGAGTGTGTTTGATCTCGCCTGTTGACATTACGACAAATTATGTGAGCGGAGGACGAACCCCTCCTGACACCCTCCCGGAAGGGAGCGGAAGGAAACAACAAAACAGAAACGGATACGCTTAGGTTGCCTTGAGAGTGGGGTGGCTTTGGCTTCGCTTCACTCAGTGGTGGGGTGGGGTGGGGTGGGGTAACTGGTATTCCCGTTAATAGGAAAGCCACACAAGAACGGCTAACGAAGGACACGCGGCCAACGGTTGAGCGACAAGTGCGACGGGTCCCGACTCGGGGTGGGTGGCTCAACTCGGTCGGGTGTTTGCTCAGCGTTAAGTGCACAGAGTCCGTCCCCGTGCCCGTCCACAGGCAATGGCAAGTGGAAATGATAAACATATTTACACAATTTTTGACAGGCCCAAGAGAAAGCAAAGAACGGGTGAAACTGAAACAGAACACCCGTGGGCCCAGCCCAGCGAGCACTCGAAGCGAGGGTAAGGGAACCAAACCCAAAGCCCAAACTCGATAAATATGTTTATGTGCAAATAACAAAATATTTGTCGATTGCCCAGAACCAGAGGAGATGGATGGATGGGGTGGCACAGGACTGGCTGAGGAGGAGGAAGGGGGAAGCACCGCAAGCGCATAATTCAATTTTTCTTCTCGTTTTTGCACGCCGGTCGGCCGGCGCACGTCACTCAACTCCACTGGGACTGGATCAGGGGATCCCTCGATGTTGCGCTGCATCACACACATATTAGTGACACGTGGCGGAGGCTGAGCCGGAGGTGGAGGCGTGGCACATGCGGTTTCGAGGCACTGCACTAATATTTATTTATTTGTAATTACGCGTGTTCCAAAACAAAATCCCGGGCGTACTTGAAGTCGGTTTCGGGATTCGGGATCCATCAGCTGGGCTCTGCTCTTTTTCAGGCCCGCCTGCGACACGTGCAGCGGACTCAGCTGGGAATACAAACACGAATGCACATACCCTGCACATTAGGGCAACAATGCCAAAGACATTTGTAGGTTTGTCAACAGTTTCAGCCTTTTGGATTTGGTTACAGCTTTTCAGCTTTTCATTGTCAACGGCGCGTGTCGCCATCTGAGTCGTCCAGCAATCCACTCAACTTCAATCCGCACTCAGTTGTTCAGTTGTCAACTTTGTGGACTGGCTTTTAGTCGGGGGTTTGTCAATTGATTTTGCGTGGGATTTCCGAGATGAATTCTCTCCCTTGGATGGGGAGAACCTCTAAGTCCAAGGGAGTTACAGAAAGTCTCGCTCACCCATGATAAATCATCTCTCAAAACTTTCTACCAAGAAAAGCAGAAGAAAAATAGTTTCTCGTACATTATGTCAAGCAACTCTTATGAAAGACGAGCTGCAAGCCGCAACATTAAACATTCTGCAACCCTAAAAGAGCATTTGAAATGAGCTCCTAAGACTGGGGGGATGACAATGGCGGTGTCCCACCAGAGAAAGCTCATGTATTTAATTGAAAAACACTTAAGCTGCCTCGGTCTGAAAATGTAAATGTTATGCAAGGCATAAAGCCAGAGCAACCGCAAGATCCTACCTACCACCCCATCCCATCCTCACATGAGCAGCTTTCAACGTGGCTCAATCAAAATAAAGGCCAGGCCCCACACTCAGACCCTCTTAGCAACCTGGCTCGCCTGTGAGCTTTTTGTGGTTCACAAAAACAAAGAGCAGAAAACAAAAACTTTGCATAATTAAAGCCTGCACAGGCTTGTTCTTAGACAAAGCCAAAATCCTTTCGGACAGAGAGAAGATATGACGGAGACTTGGCTTGTCTTGACTTGACTTGACTTGACTTACCCTCGAGCGCACGATTCCTTGAAATTAAGGCGAGCACCAGTTCAGGATTTGGGTCATCATGGTCGACAGGCAGATGATTGTGCTGGCCGCTGCCTACCAAGTGCGATGCCTGTGGCGTGGGTGGCAATTGTTGCGGCTGATGGATATGCGGCGGATGTTGCTGATGATTATCCATGGCTGTCAGGTGCTGTGGAAGCTGCTGCTGCTGTGGATGGTGATGATGTAGCGGCGGCGGCGGTTTCAGGGTTTGCATCATTGCTAAGGCCAAATGCATGCACAGCAGTTGGCAATGATACTGGGGATTGGTTGGGGATTGGCACACGCGTCGGATGAGTTATATTTGAATTTTTAAGGAATTTATCACACAATCCGCCAGGCTCAATATCTCTCTCTCTCAATATTTTCCCCCCTTCAGGGCTTCACTCGCGTTTCGTTCACCGTGAAACGAGGCACCGCCAGACAGAGACGCGGTTCGGGATCGCTGTCTGCTCGATAACTGCTGCTGGCACGGGTTTCGCCAGCACACCGCCGTCTCACGGCTCCGCCGTTGCTTTCTTCTTATCGCGGCGGCGGCGGTTGCTCTTCGATTCGATTTGTGCTCGGCTGGGGCTTTAGAACGTTCGTGTGCTCTTTTGACTACATGCCAGTGCATCGGCCCTATCAGTGGAGCAGCGCGGAGCCTCAACGTTGGCGAACAATTTAAAGATGTTTACGCATCGTATGATGGAGACTCTCGGGCAGTCCATCTACTGTTGCGGGACTTCATGCAATTTTAAGATTTTTATTTCGCTATTTTTCGCTAATATATTTTAACTCTCAATCTACGATTTCAAAACAATCCTCTCTGCTGTAACGCTCTCTCCAAAGGATTTACCAACAACTAATTAAAGACATTGCTAACAAGTGAAATCTGTTTTAATGCTTCCTGCGAAGTTCCCACTTGTTCCTATTCTTTTTATATATTCGCTGGCCTCAAGGTCTGAAAATATGTGCTTGATAAGACAATTCCATCCGACTTTAATCTATATTCAACGAATATTCCCTCACAGTCAGGCTATCTGCGTTTCCTTTGGCAACAAACTGCGACGCAAAATAAAAATTAAAAATTAAAATTACATTGAAGTTTGAACTTGTTTCCGCACTTTCACACTTGATTTTAAAACATTTATATATTAACAATTGAGTTTATAGTTTTGATATTATTTTTGTTATAATTATTTTAATTTTATATTATTTATTGGGCTCCACTTCAAAGCAAGAACATTTTGTTGCTAGAACAGCGACGGTGGCGACAGCGACGGCGACGGCGTTGGCGATGACGACGACAACCACGACGGCAAATGTGAAACGACAAAATGGCGACGGCACTGTCAATGCTGTGCTAACGGTACCAGACCAGCGACAGAGCATGGCAACACTGGCTGAGCAGCCAGCCAGGCCAGCGGTGGCTTTTGCTGTTGCTTTTACTGTTGTTTTTTGTTGTTTCGCTCTTCTTCTATTTGCCGCGCTGCATCTTTATTTATTTTCTTCTGTTATGTGTTCTGTGGGAGCTTCTATCTCTCTCCTGCTGTCTGTTTCTTCTTCGTTGCGTTTTTTGCGCACTTTTCGTGGCTCGGACTCTGAGCGTTTTCTTTTCTTTATTTGACTTTTCTTTCGATACTTTTTCTGTCGCTTGCCTTTTGGTTATCGCTGCCCCCACCCCGACACACATATGTTGCAATGCATTTGTGTAGCAGTGTGTCCTGCCGATTGATCTTAATATGACACAAATTATATGATGGTTAAATATGGTACGATACGACACGAGACACGCTGCAGAAGAACAATGACAGCAGCGGCGACGCCAACAGCGAGAGGCGATGACATTTTTATGCTTTTTTTTTTTTGCCATGCGCATATGGTGGGGTGGTGGGCGCACATTGTAATGAGCATTACAATATTTGTAAAACGTAAAAACTTTACCCCGAAAAACAAAAATGTGTATTCTTTCCCCCCCCACCCTAAGAGTTTCACGCTGCTGCAGCTACGGTCTCTGGCACTGCCACTGCTCCTTTACGGCTGAAAAAAAGGAAAATGATAATTTTGCTGCAGCAACAACAAGAACAGCAGGGAAAACCAACGTCGGGCGACACCTTCGTGGCCCCAAAACAACAGTAAACAGCACTTAAAAGTCAGAGGCAGCGACTGCGACGTCAACGGCGACGTTGGCAGAACGAACAAATATGAGAAACGAAAACTTAACTCGACTCAAAAGTCCAAGTCAATACGATACGCGCGCGGTCACGGCAACAAAAGCAACAAAAGCTACAAAACTGCAAAAGCTACAACAACAACTACAAGAAGCAGCCTTCCAGGGCATAAGCCCCGCCCCTTTATATTGAAAGCATTGGAAATCGTTGATAAGCAACAGCAACAGCAACAATGCACAGCACGGCACAGACGTGTTTGGACATGCGCAAGAATTACCGCTATCTTATCGTCTACGACCCAGCGTCGCCATTAAACAGTCGGCTTGGTTGGATGGGTGTCGAGTGGGCTGCAAGTGGGTGGGTGTGTCCCTCATCTGTGTGTGTGTGTGTGTGTGAGTTTGTCTTTTATTTCTAGGGTTAAAGTCGTTCCAGCGCAGGCGCACTCTCACTTGCACTCACAAAAATAAAGACAGAGAGAGAGAGAGAGAGAGAGAGAGAGACGAGGAAGAAACATAACTGGAAGCACCGTACCGTGGCTGTGCTTGCTGTATCTGCAAACGGGGGTCTGTCTGTCTGTCTGGAGTCGTCCTCCAGTTGCCTCCTGCCTACTCCGCCCCTCTCTCTGTGCAGCCAGAGGTCCTGTCCTGCGTCTGCAAAACGATTTTGTTTTCGAATTTATTTATGAGCCGCTTAGAGCGCGCGCCAAATACTTTGCCAAACACTTTGAACCCCGTGCCAAAGCCAAATCCAGAGCCCAACCCCAACATCAGCTTCAGCCCCAATCCCAGTCGGCAACACAACAAAAACAAGATGGACACCAGAAGCAGGTCGTTCCAGGGCGTTGGGCGGTAGGTAAACAGCTGGCTGCTAGTGCATGGGCCGATTGGCAAGTTAATGAAACCATACTCTTGCAGTGCAAATCAGTGGGCACAATAGAGACAACAAATTAAACTGTGGATATATCGATACTTATATTTG